AAAAAAACAAAAAAGAAAGATAATATGGTGGTTTGAATTCTCAGACCAGTTGTAATGGAAAGCCCTGTACCTTTCACAGGGAGAAAGAGGACTACCTGGTGTACAGGGAACTCCTGGGGAGATGGGACCCCCTGGAATAGGCATTCAGGGATCACCAGTAAGTATATCAATGTCCAGAATTTGGACTTCTCACTGAGCATCACTGCAAAACTGTAATTTGCAAAGCATAATAAAAAGCCACACCATGAACTCCCTTTCATTCATTCACACCAAGTTCCTAATCTAAAACAATAATCCTTTAAAATTATTTTTTTCAGTTAAAATATTTTAAAATCTGAATTTTAAAAATTACCCCTTTATATCTAAATAGTCTAGTCTGGTTGTATTTAACTGCATGTCAGCTTTCCTTATGAATATCCTAACTGAACAGCAAGTTTTACCACAGTTCATTAATTTTTTTAATTACTTGTCCTTAAAAATGGGCCTTAACAAAGTCTTAAATTCTCTAATTTTGGCAAAATTAGATTGGGATTTAAAGCCAAAACTTAGAGCAACTCTTTCTCACAATGAAAACTTCACCAATATCCCACATTAAGTATTTTTTAATGAAGTTCATCTCCCTTATCCCAGAAAGTGTAACTACTTATTATTTGGAGTTTTCTTGCAGGGTCCTATAGGTCCAACTGGATCAGCAGGTGTGCAGGTAGGGTATAAGTTTTCTCTATAATATAAAATCATTAATTTAGTTTAAGAGTTTTAAAATAAAAATATTCTTATATCTTAAATTACCTTTCCTGCTCTTAGGGCCCTAGAGGACCCCCAGGATTACCAGGAACTCCAGGTACCCCTGGTATTAATGTAAGTGACCATTTTCTATATATACAACAAAAAAAGTAATGTGTTCCTTGTCAATGATTTAAGGCCATGAAGTTTTCCATTTGTTTCTAGGGCACACCAGGAAGAGATGGAAAGCCAGGACTGCCAGGCCCTCCAGGTGATCCTGTATGTATCATGCACAAGAAAATTTCTCATTTGCTTTGGTGTAAATATTATAAGTTTAAAGGAGGTGAGATGACATAGCAAGTGTAGAAGAACAAGTGGTATGAATGATAAAGTGGAAATACTTTCTTGGCAAAGACAGGAAAACAGTCATGTACCTTGGCCTCAATAAAACTTTGAGACTGTCTTCATAATGTTTTTGTAAGCAAGCAAAAAACTCTCTAACTGTCTTCATGAGGTTTTTGTAAGCAAGCAAAAAACTCTCTTGAATTAGTTGCCATTAGTTTAATGCTTATCAAAAACTATGGATCTGAGTGTCTATCAGCAGATTACTGTCAAACTTGAAAAGAGAGGTCTCTCCTGTGCCCAGTTCTTGTCAGGGATTTAATTTGAGTAGGATAAGTAGAGATAAACTCTGAAATTGGACCAGAAAAAATTGTTTGCTTTTTGAAGATAAAATCAAAACTTAAAATTCAGAGGCAGTGTGAAGTCAAAAAGATTTAACTCCAGACAGATGAGTATAAAGTGCTTAATAAGGAAAAACAAAATCCATAAGTAGAATATGTCTGGAAAGCACAGTGCATTGTAAACTAAGTGTAAGTTAAATATCTGATGCTGCTATTAAACAGACAAGTCTAAATGGGAAAACTTACTAACAGGAGAATTACTGCTTTGAAATACTCTTCTCTTTGGAAAGAACATTTGTTAAAGGAAAATGTAGGCAGCAAGAGTGAGTCTGAAGAATTAAGGCCCTTCTAACATTTCCAAAAACCAGCATATATCATGCACTGATTCAGAGTTCAGCACTCAGAGCTATGACTCTGCACTGTGTGTCTGCACTTGCTGTACATACAGAGCAGAAGAGCTGTATGGCACAAACACAGTAGGTTTGCCCTTGTACCTGGTGTGCCCTTGCAACTGGGTGTTAGGACCCTTTCACACTGAGGGCTTGGGGTCCTGTACCATAAAATGATACAGCAGCTAAAATAAGAAGATTAGACAAGAAAGAGATGGGGGAAATTACACGTCTGTAGTCCAGCAGGAAGACCCAACTGGTGCCATGGCAATAACCTGCCTAGCTGTAAAGTGTTGTCATAAGGAGAAGGATGAAAAGTCAGGTCACATAGGGATGTGGTGGTTGTTTTAAAGACTTGTTACACGTTTCTAAGAGCAGTTGACACTGCTATGTACAGTTTTACCTCTGTGCAGAGGATAGACTTCACACCTAGCATACTTACGTCCTTAGGTTGTGTTAGGTGGTGATGTCCCATCCTAAAAAGCTCCTCAACATGCTTTCAAAGGTGGTAATGCTACCCTGAAAATGGTGTATCATTTAGGGTTAAATATGTTCAGAAGTGCATCTCTTGAGCTGATATTTGATACCCATTGCCATTAACTGGCAGTTTTCTAATATGCTACAAAAGTGCTTATGTTTTGTTTTTCTTCTTCAAGATGGAAATGATCAAAACAGACTCAAAAACAGTTAACATGTTTTGAATGTGTCTTAATTTTATAGTATGCCCAGGATGATTTTTGATTTTGTAATTGCCAGAAGAAATGAGCATTGGTAATTGGAGAGTCCATTTGTGAGTGAAGCTGTTGATATCCAGGGAAATGAGTTTTTACAGAGAGTCTTTAAATGCAAGTTTAATGACAGGTCTTGTATAACTGAGATGTAGTGCAGTACAGGGTAAACCTATTGATTGATCTATAAATGGGTTAGGTTTAGTATTGGTAGCACTTTAGGAGTGGCACCATGGAGTTATGCTCTAATTCTAAATGTTTAAAGGTAAGACAAAATAACACATATGTTGTCCATGTTGCTGTAACTAGATTATTTCCAGTATCTGTGGTAATTTATTGACATTAGTTTTGACATCTCCAGAATTTGTGCTACAGTTGACAGTAGAGTCAAAGCCTAGGAGAAAGGAAAAGGAAAACAATTGAAGATGATCAGGTGAGAACAGTCTGTGACACTTTCCAGTATCATAGAATCTTAGAATCAGCCAGGTTGGAAAAGACCTCAAAGATCATCAAGTCCAACCCTACTTTCATTACTAGACCATGGCACTAAGTGCCACATCCAGTGTAATTTTAAAAACCTCCTGCTGAATCCCTCCCTGAGCAGCTCCTTCAGAGGAGGTTTAGGTTAGATATAAGAAAATTTTTTATGGAGAGAGTAATCAGTAGTGTTGAGTTGCTGCTGATGTGCTACAAAAACAAGATTAGTATGTTCAGGAATTATGCTGTTGTCATGGTTTAAGAAACTTCACCGGAATCATGATGAAGAATTATAATTGTTAGGTTGGATAGACAGTGATATTTAACTATATTTGAAACCCTGTTTTTTCTTTTGAGTTTTCATAATAGCTTCAACCAATAGGTAGATATATGTAATCAGTTATTTGTGTAACAGCATAAGCTTTAGAAGTAATGAGAACACATCAGAATTAGTAGTGTTGTGTGAAACATTAACTGCAGCCACCTTCTTTAATTTCAGGTTGCACTGCCACTCGTGGGAGACATGGGTGCTATACTCAAGGTAAATATTTTCAGAGGTTAAATTTTGTTTGCTATAAACACACTTTTTAAACCAAAATATGCACATGAAAGTTTTTATAGGTTCAATTCTGACCTGCAAGGCTAGCCTAAAATAATTCTGTGATTTTTGTTGTTTTCTGTTTAGTCTTTCAAAAATATTCAAGAAAGAAGAGTATTTTATAGGAGTTTTGCAAAATAGTCTTTGAGCAGTACATGAGGTAGTACCCAGCAAATGCCCATTCAGCACATTCAGTCAACAGTATGAATTGCTGCAAGTATGTCCCATTCTCCACTTTTGAACATTAGATTCAGTAATGTTCCAAGTGGGGAGAACAGTCTAGAATTTCTAAGATATTATTTTGAAAAATAATGAAATTTGAAGTGGCCTGCAATATCCAAAATGAAAAGTGTGCGCAGGGGATTTTAATATGAAAAGCACACATCACAGCAATATCCAAAATGAAAAGTGTGCACAGTGGATTTTAATATGAAAAGCACACATCACTTCTGAGGACAGAGATTATCCTATCCTACTGTCCTTTACTAATACATGTACTTAGGGTTTATTGACTTTCTTGTTCCCAAATTTAATTTATTTTAGGTCTGTCTTTGGGCTTTTCCCTAATTCTTTCTGTTTGTATTGTCTTTCTGCTGTACCTGGTCTTCTACCTCTTCAACAGAGCTCTCTGTCTTACTGGTTCTTTATGCTTCATTCTTCATTTCCCTAATTTGTGGTTAGCACTTCTATATGATTGTAATTTAGCTGGAAAATGCTTCTCTCAGCAAATCAGGGACCATTTACTCTAAAATAACTATAGATTTGAAGCTGGAGATAGTAACAAGTAGCCTTCACCTCTACCTAATCCTTAAAAGGGAAAATGGTTTGCTCAAACCTAGGCACAGGTGTGTATGAGAATATCCAAACTGAGGCTAAAAATGTGTTAGCATGATTTGAGTAGAGTGTGTAAGAGATAGGGATGGAAACAAGACTATTTGAACAAGTATAGTTTGGAGAAGGTAAAGGAATGAAGAGCAGATTTGGGGGTAAAGTGAAGGGATGCTTAGAAAGGCAGGAAGGAAGCAATCTGCAGAGATCAGTCTGCAGAGATAACTCTTCTACCTATGTCACAAGAAGGTTATTCATTTCTTTGCTTTCTGTCTGTTCTGCAGGGTGATCCTGGCACAAGAGGACCTCCAGGCATCCCTGGTAGAGAAGGGCCAAAGGTAAGTTCTGAAGAGAGTGATTTTCATTGCTTTGTTGCTTGTGAAAAGTAAAAGGCCAGATTCTTAACTCTGCCAGTCGTGACATTTTTGAGTGATCACTATCCCTGTGGCATCTGAGCAACCTAAAGACTCAAATAATTTTTATGGTTCAGCCCTCTTCGTGTGTCAGTTTGCCTGTTCTCTAGGGCAAGTAAGCAATGTAGCTCGAGTTCCAGGCCAGGATAGCTCTGTGTGTCTTGCCTCCATTAAAGCTAATATTTGAATGTCCTGTAGTGCTTTGCTATCTATAGGCTTATTTTTGGAGAGTCACTCATGCAAGAATCGTGGCGAGGATACTTCCCATGTCTCCCTCAAGTGTGCAACAGCTGAACTGCTCTGTGCCTTTGTGCCCTGTTCCCATAGGAGTAACACAGCCATTCATTGGGACGTGAAGTTTTGCTGACATCAATCAAAATCCTGTTTCACTGTAGCCAGATCAAATGCCACTCGGTTTGGCATATAAATACCTTCTATCATTGAGCCTAATTCCATGAAAGTGAACTTTCTTGATTTCAGCAAACATTTAAGCTCTTTGGTGTTATTGTCCCCATCAGGCCTTTCGACCGGTTTGCCTTTTAGGTACAAACCACTCGTTTCCTTTCACCTCACTGGAAGGGATAGTTTAAAGCTTTCATAAAATCATAGAATTTTAGAGGTCGAAATGGACCTTAGAGATCATCTAGTCCAAACCCCCCCGGCCGTGGGCAGGGACACCTCCCCACTAGATCAGGTTGCTCAAGGCTTCGTCCAGCCTGGCCTTGAACACTGCCAGGCTTGGGGCATCTACTACCTCCCTGGGCAACCTGTGCCAGTGTCTCACCAGGAAAAACCTTTTCCTAATATCCAACCTAAATTTCCCTCTTTCAGTTTGTACTCATTGCCCCTTGTCCTGTCACTTCATCTCCTAACAAAGTGTCCCTCTCCAGCTTCCCTGGATCCCCTTCAGATTTTGAAAAGTTGCTCTGAGGTCTCCACAGTCTTCTCTTCTCCAGGTTGAACAGTCCCAACTTCCTCAGCCTGTCCTCATAGGGGTAGTTTTGAGCACTGTGACTGTAAGGGCTTCATGCTAACATATATTAAATGTGGGTCATAAAGTGCCCTACAGATCATGAAATTCATTGTTCTGTAATAGAAATAATTTGTTTGAATGTTGTGTTTCCACAGGGAAGCAAAGGTGAACGTGGATTTCCTGGCCTTGCAGGGGAGAAGGGTGATGAGGTAAAATAACTTCATTCCTACAGCAATTTCATTCTTACCTGAACTTAAGTAAATTCATTTCTCTAAAAACTGCTGAGATAGTCATGTATTGCTATAAATAGCCCTCAATCCTGAATTTTCAACAAGATTAAATCCTATTATTCAATTAAATAACGTCTATTTAATTTTTGTCAGTGGAGTTTTTACTGATTTGGACATATTAAAGCCTCACACACATTTAGATGCAATTTTTTAAGTGTATAGGACAGAGCAATAAATAGGCAAATGCCAAATATTTTCAGAAAATACAGCATGTTTATAACGTATTTGCTTTCATTTTGTTAGTTCCCCTTCAGAATTCACTTTCTAAACCATTCCATTAGGCAAATTCTCTGATGGGAATAGTCATAGCGGCATTTACTATTATGTAAAAACTGGAAAAAGTTTGAAAAGGCTTAATTTAAAGTGTTTACACTATTTTGCATCATATACTGCATTCTTAGAGTTATTTTTATGTCTCTATGGAGAAGTGGAAAAAAAGGCACATGACTTGTGGTGCCAAATCCGAAATAACTTTCATTTTAAATTGAAATATTTGCAGTTAACACTTCAAGAGCAATTTCTGTCCATAAACAGAAAATTGCCAAGGCAGAAACTATTAAAGAAATTCATCTGGGTAAATAAATTAATTTCCTACTGGCCTTAGCCAACTGAAGGAGTTAAAATAAATAGTCTGCTACAAAATATTTGGTGAACACTTCGAAACTCCAAAATGCTTAACTGGCACTGCTAAACACATACCACTCTCTTGAAATTGGGGAGTTCTGGCTACAAGACACAGCACCTGGAAAATATAAAAGGAATTTAGGCTGTATTGATTGAGGGAGTTGCAATTCTTTATGAGCACTTTCTTTGGCATTAAGGCCATCACATACTAAGAATTTCCAAACAGTAGTAGAATGAAAGTAATTTAAAAAAAGTAAATCTTTCTGTGTGTCAGGATCTTTGGCTTCCAAAACTAAATGGTTATATGAGGAAAAGAAGATGCAGCAAAAGAATTAAACATGTTATTCCTGCTACTGTTTTGCCCCAGAATTTAGCACGTTGTCAGCCTAAAGTATCATGCTTCTTTTCCCTTTTGTTTTACATGATCTATAGAACTCATTAAGTCCTCACCTCTTATGGAAGCAAGTGCCTTCTGAGGTTGGATGCAGAACATATGCACTTCTCACCTCTTATGGAAGCAAGTGCGTCCTGAGGTTGGATGCAGAACATATGCACTTAAACAATGGTGCAGCCATAAGAAAATTTCATGCAGAATTTTACTTAAACAATAAATGGGAAAATAAAACATCCATTGTGTGCCCTATAGTATACCTCCACAATTCAATCCTAGCAGGCTGAAGCATTGCTGAAACAGTTTCAAGAATTCAAATACTATTTAACTGTTGAGAGCCAAGTGAGATAATATAGGCAATTAAGAGGGTAATAAAAGAACAGCAAGTTTATTACTGGCACTTAGGCTGTTTTTAAGGGACTCTGGAGTAAATTCGTTGTAATTTTTTCATTAATTCAGTGGGGTGCAGTGCTCTGTTAATAAATGTGTTACTCATATGCTTCTTCACTGAGAGCTGGTTAGCTGCCTTAGCTCTGATGTTTTCAGTGTTTAGCAGCAGCTTTTGATTATGACATTGTGAGGGTGTAAGTGAATCTTTTTTCAGAAACATGCATGAAAGAGCTTACAAAATTTAAAAGTAACTTTTTTTCACAAATTTTAAAAGAACACATTTATTTCTTTTTTTTTTTATGATTTGGTTAGCATGGGAGTGGGAAGAAAGATTGAAAAGCCAACCTGAAGCTCTTTGAGATACACTCATTATCTTCATGCACTTTCAAACAGCCCTTGAATCTTCACCGAGGCTTAGTTATCTTCTCTTTCAAAACATTCCCCTTTTTTCAGGGGAGGGTTTTTCTAACATCTGTAATAAGAATTGCAGAAAATGTTCCTTTGGCTCCAGATTAATTTTCCATGTGACTGTCCCATCAGAGCAAAGTAATTCAAGAGGAACAGAGAGTGCATTAGCAGTTACCTTGCCACTCTGGAAAGCTGCAAAGGTGGATCAATGTCTTCTGTGCAGTGCAGCAAGAAAGGGAAATCAATGTCTCTCTCCATCTCCACATTTTCCCTGATTTATTTCTGTCTGAAGTTATTCCCTCAGAGCACAAGTTTCAGAGCTCCTGACCTCTGTGGCTTTCTGGACTTTTCCCTCAGAGCACAAATTTCAGGGCTCCTGACCTCTGTGGCTTTCTGGACTTCCTCCTTATTCATTCCTTCTTAAACATTGCATTTAACATGAGAAAGTCATTCAGTCTTAAACATTGCATTTAACATGAGAAATGCACCTTTTCTGAGGTGATTCTTCTTGTCAGAGGATGGGCAGACAAAATGAATTGCTGCTGGAAGGGATCTATTTCCCTTCATGAAGAGAAACAAGAGCAGTTAGCTCTCATTAGTACATGACTTTTACATGTCTAAAATTGCACCTAAGGCTGGTGTGGCAGAGGAAAGACTCAGTGACATCCTGGTTTGTCTCAAATCTCACCTGTATTTACTGTAGGAAGTTGCACAGCTCTATGTTTAGTAAGTGGATACCAGAGACCATCGATTTCCAGGCAATCAAATAGAATAAAAGCAGGAAAGCAGATCATTAAATACTATGTAAAATGTCATGTTCCATTATCAGAAAGCAAAATCTATAAATCAGGCAGAAAGCATCATGGCATTTAGATAACATCAGGGAACATGGAGAAGTCTGTATAAATGCCTTCTCCCCAGGCAAAAAAAAAAAAAAAAAAAAAGCCTTTTAGTGATAGAAGATAGAAAATTAATCTCTAAGGAAAAGCCAGATGTCCTGCTCTTATCTGCACAACTAAAGACAAAAAGATTTACAAGACACAATGTGAAAGGTTGAAGGACAAGTGTTGTTTGCCACTCAAGTAAGAAGTTGCCCCAACCTAGTTCAATGATAACCTCTTCCCTGCATGGTGGTGTAGTTTTTCTGTTCAATATTGAAAATAATGCCAACTTTTTGAAGAAAAGGCATTTTAATATAGTTATAATACTGCTGAATATAAGTATATTTTGAGGTGTAAGTGGGAGAGGAACTGGATATGTGCTCTTTTAATTTCCAGGGTCTTCAAGGTGCTCCAGGACTGCCAGGCATACCAGGACCCAGTGGACCATCTGTAAGTGTGTTGTATCACCTGTGAGCTAATTTATCTCTGCACAGGTTGCTATAACTGCCTAGTTTCTTGCCCTTTCTTTTGTCTTTTGGGAGAATGATAATAAAACCTTACCTATACTGGCTCTAATAAAATAATCTGTGTTGGTGTTGATGTTACTGAAAATACTGTCCTTGTCTGGGCTCAAAGTTTATGTAACTTAAATAGGTTTGAAGTCTTGGCATTACTAGAGATTCTCTGAGGTTACATGACTTATGATGTGCAAACTTGCAGTGAATTATGTATTTGTACCCAAGTTACAGTTGTGTTAGGAATAAAAATCTAAAAACAATTCCACCTAGGCATTCTGAAAGCATTTAGTGCTGAAACCAAATAATTTCTTGGTTTCACAAGTTAGAAAGTATGAGAATAAGCTCAGAATATTTAAAGAAACTGAAATATATCATTGAAAATTTTGGTATTTCAGGGAAAAGTCTTCTTGGTAATTTTTTCACATTTTATTTCCTACACATGGAATGGAATCACATTAGTTAGTACGTCCATTATTCACTCCTAAGTTCCTGACAATACGAATGCTTCTTTCAAAACTTGTATCACATTTAGGGAGTTTAATGTGGAATATGTCAATTGACATTTTAGCAGTACAGCAGGATTCTTGGCAGTATCAAGATGTGCCAGTTAAGGTCAGTACATTTAGTCTGCCAAGGTGAAAATGCAGCCACAAACACAAGTTTTCCCTCTTCAAAGGACTTATCAGAAGGACACAGCTGTTGTATCAAGCAGAAGAGAAAAATTTAAACTTGGAGGAGAAGCGTAATTAGTTTAAATGGCCTTCAAAAAGCACAAGTTTTAGAAACTAAGCAACAATGAAAAAATACTGTGTTTCATTGTCTTCTAACTGATATAAACAATATTGTGTTGTGCAGGGAGTCACAGGAAGACCTGGACATCCTGGTCCAGCAGGGGCAAAAGGAGAAAAGGTATTCCCTCTTTTTAGTCTTGGTAAAGATCTGTGAAGGTTTTGCAAGCCCATCCCACTCCTGTGTTTTTTGAAACAAGTTCCAGAGTGCAAACAAGAATGTGACACATACATTTCAAGGTTTTATTGGTGTCTTATCAAGTGCTTTCCCCAGACAATGCCATGAATTGGGGTTTATACTTGGAATTGTAGTCCTTGGGTTGTATGTAAGTTGTAGGGAATGTTCTCTAGGTATAACATAGTTTAGAGAGTTTAGGAAAGTGGAAATACATTTGTGAAATAGTATATGACCTGTTGCTACTTGCTCTGTTTATCGCTATTTTACCAGCATTTTAATCAAAATTATTGGCATACTTTAAAAATGCTTCACAAGTTCTTAGGGTTCTTGAGGATTGGTTATTCTGAAAAATGCAGAAGCTTCCCTTACACTGAATTTACACTGTTGTAGTACTGCTTTTTATCAAACTTTTATACACTATTTTATCAGGCACTTGATCTTAGTCCTTGTAACTAAGAGGTCACGTTAATTACTTCAGATCAGTGGAATTCTGCAAAGACAAACTTAGTTTGCTGCAAAATACTTTCTGGGACAAGTTGTCCATTTCATATGTGAATACAACTTCTTTTCCCAGTATTATCCTGGAGTTTTCCAGGCATGGCACTGCCACATCACCATGTGGGATCCTACTCATACTCTACAAAACTTTCACTCTGGCATGAGTAAGAAGAGAAACTTTTTTTGTAAAACTCTGAAGTTATTTCAGTGTAAAATCTGAACAAGAGCTGTCTCCTTGCAGATCATAAAAACAAAGGTTTGCCACACATTTTCTTTTTGTGCAACTGAATACAAAGCACAAGTCTTTGTTGGAACACTGTTTGCAATTCACACACAGGAGGGAATGAGAAGCCACTGCTCCATAGTTAGTGTCTCATCAGTCAAAAAGGGTAAAAGTCAGATGGCTTAAGAGTGATGAACTAAACTTAAATATAGCCCCAGTGATTTCCTCCTTTCTCCATCTGGAGGACAAGTTTGAGAAGTGATCATATAATATCCTTTCTAAAGTAACAGTGTTTTAATTCCCCATTACCATTCTCTGGGGCTGGCAGTTTATATTAATTAGCAGGACCATTTGGAAATTGTTTTAATTCCCCATTACCATTATCTGGGGCTGGCAGTTAATATTAATTAGCAGGACCATTTGGAAATTTTCCTGGTATAAACATTGAATTACAATTTTATTTTTCTGATGAGCTTATTATTGTCAATGAACACTTAGCTTGACTTTTGCCACCTTAATAATTTTAAATACGTGGCCTAAGTGTCTCACTAATGTATGTTTAATAAGATCCAACAGAGTCAGTGAAGAATCCTGGCAGATTTGTTCTGGACTATACAGTGTTTTTTATGAGCTGTAGTGATGAGAGTTTGAAAAGATTGTTTGAGAAGTTTTATACTGAAACCTTTGTAATGCTGTGCTGTTCAGAGACCCCACCAATCTTCTGGGGAGAAGTCTCAGAAGCTATTTGTTTTTATTTTAATATAAGCAATTCAATGCACATCAGTAGAACAGGCTGCAGATACTGGTACCATACTTTTTATTTTAACATAAGCAATTCAATGCACATCAGCAGAACAGGCTGCAGATACTGGTACCATAAGGTGAATATTTTATAGTAATAATCCAAAATGTGTTCATTTTGCCTCTTAATAAAAAGCTCCTTTAAAAAAAAATCTCAACTTTTATTCAATATGTTTCTAAGTAAACAGAACTCCTGAAACTGTAGCTCTTCTTTATTTACATATGAATGATCACCTGAGGATTGGCTTTTGCAAAATAATACGCAAAGCATAAAATGAATGTTAATTTTATCTGCCAGTTGCTTAGAAATTCATATTAACAACACTTTTTTTTTTTTTTTTTTTTCCTTCCTCTCCCCCCTGGTACATATAGAATGTTTCACAACCCAAGTTACCACTGCTATTTTGCCATAAGGAAGTTACTACACATAAAACATTGAGTAACTAACAAAATAAAAAACTAGTATAAAGTAATGATTCATAACTTGCCTAAAGCTTAAGCAGGAAATAGGAGGAGAATTTATTCTTCATATTACCTGCTCTATTGGCTGTATCTCTTATTTATTGTCATTATGGTCATCCTAGTTTGGGGATGGAATAGATCTGGCCATCGGTTACAGTAAATGAGTTATATGAATCTCTTGCTGTACTAGGGTAGTGAAGGTTCTCCTGGGAAACCTGGACCACCTGGGCCTCCGGTGAGACATTTTCTTTTATATTTTAAGTATTATATTTGGAACAATGTACCTGTGAGTAAAATGTAATGTAATATAAAGAACTGACTGTCAATCTAATGCATATTAATATTACAGGAGAGCAACAATGTCTCTTTTCAAAGGATTTCTGTGCTCCTTTTTTTTCCTTGCTATTCATGGCTGAGTAAGTTCAGCTCACTAAAGCCATCCCAGAAGCCTGGTCAAATTCTTTAACCTTGGTGTCCAATATTACTAGAGTAATTTTTGCAGCTTGGGTACCTGACATCAAAGAACTCAAGGAATCCAAGGAAAATCTATGGAGCTCACTGGACTCTAAATTAACAGGAACAGTACCTAACACAAAATTTATGCTGGAAATTCTAATAATAAATAACAAAATATAATGTCCACTCAGAGATTTACAGGTTTCTCGGTTTATCATTCAAAAATAAAAGTCCCAAGCTGCATTAGTTATGTATCATGTTCTGAAATATCTGGAATCTTTGACAAATTGAGAACAAAAATGGTACCACAGCTTTGCTGAGCTACAGGGCTTGAACAGGGCAATAGTTCTGCCTGTGTGATTTGTAAGTGACACTCACTTGGTTTTTATGCTTTAAAGGGAATGCCTTACAATGAAAGAAATGGAATGAGCAGCTTGTATAAACTGCAGGTATTTCTCTTTAATGTCAATTGGTTTTATTTTCAATCCACACCTAATTTTGGCCCAACTCAACTTTTAAACTTGCTGTTACAGGGAGGTGCCAGTGTCACTAGTTATCCAGGTCCGCCAGGTCCTCCGGTAAGTGTTACCAGAAATCTAATTTCTAATAGCTAATTGACAAAGTAACAGAAAGGTTGGTTAGTTGCATGGAATTTGATTTTATATGTGAAAGATTGAAAAAACAAGGATGTGATTGGTATGTAGAAAATTATGAAGTCTGTGATTTTATGTGGTTTAGCCCATTTTAGCCCATTTTGGAGAGTAGTTTATTTTGATTTAAGTAATTCATCCTAGCAAGTAAAGGCTGCAGAAGTGATGCATAATTTGGTATTGGGCTCTTTACTGAAAGTATCTTAATATCTAAAAACATGTAATAATGTATTTATAGCTCACGATGGCATAGCTTTGTAGTGGATGGAGGTGGATTCTTTAGTGAAAGTATCCTAATATCTAAAAATATATAATAATGTATTTATAGCTCACAATGCATAGCTTTGTAGTGGATGGAGGTGGAGATGGAGAAGCTCATGAATTCTGATCTCAGTTCTGTCACTCATTCACTGCTTGTAGCTACAGTGCAGAAAAATCTATAAAACCAAGAATTATATTGTGGCAGAGGCACCACCTTGCTGGGCACTGATGCTTTGGCTCTTTGGAGCCAAAGATGATGTGCACATATTTACATCTCCTAGTTATTAGCATCATAGGCAAGTGCTACTGTTTTGAAATGATTATCATTTGGTACCCACATAAAAACATTGTAACTATCAGTAAGGACTTTGTCCTTACATTATGTGCTGTTGATAGTCATGGACTGGCACCAAACTGGAGAGCTGTCTTTCTATGTTGTCTGGAATGGCAAAACAAAACCCAAATATTGCTAAGATTTTATACTCAATTAGACAGCTGAGAGGGCTGGACTTAATACTGTGCTCCATTAGCAAAGTATACTCACAGTGCAGTGATGCAAAAAACCATTGTCTTATTGCCTAACTGTTCTTTAAACGTGTTTCTGCTTTGGTTTCTTGCAGGGTCCAAAAGGAGATCCTGGCACAGTGGTATGTATGTGTTTTTTGGTCTTGATAGAGAATTCCTTGAGTAGTTTGACTCATGATAGTAGTCACAAGGGTGGAGGAGTCCATTTACACTCTGTAGCTGTTAGTTAACCTCCTGTAGAATCAGTACACCTGAGAAAGCCTTTTTAATGGCCAGGTTTGTAAATTTTGCAATTTCTGGTAAATAGTTCCAAGTGATAATATAATAAAGGACTGAACATACTATTAACTACTTGTGGATTCATCTCTGCTGAGCTGTCCCTGGATGTATCTAAGAACAGAGAAAGACTGATGGTTTAACCCCAAAAATATGATAGCATCAAATGTCATTTTAAGTAAATATTGCTTTAAAAATTGGATAGCTCCTTCCACAGCTTGTTTGTATATATGTTTGTATACTTCTTTTTTGAGTCTAAGGAACACCAGATAATTGCATAAAGATTGTTACAGCACTGTAACACTGTAGGTCAGTGCTCTTTCATGGTCAGTATCCTAAAACTGTGCCCAGCAGGACTCTTTCAAACTTCAGGCAGTATGACTGAATCGAGATGAGTACCTTGTGTCAGCTAATGGAAAGTGATGAGTAGAACTTGCTGATAAAAGCAGTAGAAGCTGAGTTGGTATGTGTCCAGTCACACTGTGTTCCCCAAAATCTGCTGCTGATTTGCCTACTTGATCAGGAAACTACAAAATATTGCAGAGATCATTTCTTAAACATAATCATGTCCCTTCCAGCAAAGTGAAGATCATCTATGTCTGCTATTAATGAAATAAATGACTACAGAGTTCCATTCAGGAGTTCATTCAACTACCCAGAAACTAACACTTCACTTCTTAAGCTGCAGTCCTGTCCTCAAACTGTTAATCTTGTGCACAATAAATAAGGAAATTGCTCAGCCAAGATATTGAATGTATGGTAAAGAATCAGGGTCAGAGCACAACACATAGACAATTTAAATGTCACTGGAGTCTGACCTGAACACATCAGGCCACAATAACTGGAAGATGATGATGAGTGTCTTCTCCTGTTAAAGCATTAATGTCTTCTGATGTAGTCTTTCTCTTCAGCATCAGTGTGAAACTACAGAGAAATGTCTCTGCTCATGAAGGCAGCATGCCAATACCATTTAGATGTATCTTTTTTCCTATCAGTGCATGCAGAATAGTAGCAGAAGTGCAGCTGGCTCAGACTGACCCAGCCAAGACCAAACTGGTATGGGAAGGTAACATCTTTAAGAGCTGGTTTGGACTTTATCTGTCATGAAGATGCATAATCTCCACTCAGCCAGCCTGTGCAGGACTTGGGGATATGTTTGATTTCTTGCCAAGTGCTAATGGAAAGTCAGCTACATGAAAAAATACATTTTGATCTATGAACCAATGTGCTGACTGTGCTCCTCAAGGACAATAAGAAAGCAAAACACCTGCAGTGTTTTGCAAAACATAAAGTTGTGACATAGTTTCCTAAAACAGTTGATTAATCTATTTTCAAGAAAACCTCACAAACTCTTTCTTTGTTTCACCATAATGCTCAGAAGCTGAATATCTTTCTGTATTGGCATCCACTTCCTACTCAGGACACCTCATCTCCCGGATAAAGTTTTGGTGTAAAAAATGAGATTTGCTGGAGACTTCAGGAAATCCAGACAGTAATTTGCTATGGCTTTTGATTTGGCTAGGAATGGCTGAAATACTGGAATTGTTGGCTTTGTGGGAAATTATCGATTTTGTTTCAAAAAATAATTAGAAGGACCTCCCACTCTACATGTTAAGGTGATTTCTCCAATGGAACATGTTTCTGGTTTTCTTTCAAAATGTGAAGACCTACCCAGGGGACTAGTCTGTGTCCCTCTTGCTGCAGAATAACTTTTGTTTAGGGAACAGAGCACAGAATTACTTGGAGGTTAGTTTTCTAGTTGACAGTGTATTTTTACATCCCAGGGCTCTACTGTCTGGAGGTGCTTTGGAGGTGACCTTGACTTGCAAGAGCAGTGGAGTCTTCTGGATTACATTCTTCATCAAAATTAAACAATTGATGCAAATATTCACACAGTGCCTCTGGGAAGAGCTAAATTTGTAGATCAGTAAAACAGGGCATAACAAAATCTGTTCACCTATAACTGGTTAGATGCTTTACTAATCTCTGGTTAAATAATCTGCTGTTGCTTGCTGTTCAACATTTCTTTTGTAGAGTACAGAAATTCTAATGTATGCAATCCTTTTTAATTAAAAAAATAAAACAGGGAGACCCGGGACCGATGGGATTACCAGGACTGGAAGGACTCCCAGGGGAAAAGGTAGGCTCTTAAAAGAAAAGTGATGGCTTCTTAAGGGCCACTACATACAACTAAATGTTTCCTAAAACCTCTTTTGTACTCTTTTTGTTTGTGTGCAAGTTAAAGTTTCTATGTGAAATATCTTTGTGTATTTAACTATATTTTCCTTCTTTGGATGTAAATCACAGAATCATAGAATCACCAAGGTTGGAGGAGACCTCTAAGATCTTCGAGTCCAACCATTAACTTGGCACTGCTAGAACCCCTAAACCCTAAATCATATCCTCCAGCATCAGATCCAGATACCTCTAAATCACTTCCAGGGATGATGACTCCACCACCTCCCTGGGCAATCTCTTCCAGTGCCTGAATACCCTAACAGGGGAAAAATTGTTCCTAATATGTCATCTGAATCTCCCCTGTCTCAGCTTATGACCATTCCCTCTAGTCCTCTCACTGCAGGAAAGGCAGAAGATACACTTTCCCAACATAAAATTTAACTTTCTGCAAATGGAAAATTGCATGTAGAAGGTCTTATAATATTTTGCTTCCTTAACTTGGTAGAATACTACTATACTTGATGGTAATATAGTTAATATGTTCTATGTATGGTCACTTGTCTTATGCTTACAGCCCATCTGTCCTGTTCTCAGCCTTTCCCTTGCTAGTTGTGGAGGCTGATTAGGAGTTTAGAGAAAACTTGTCCTGAAATGCTAAAAACATTTTGGTATTTGTTTTAAATATGGAAAAGTACAAAATGTTTAGCAGAGAAATGAAAAAAAAAAAGCTATAAATACATTTTTGACAGTGAAAGCTGTTTGATTTTGCCTATATCTTCTAAATTTAAGAAGATAAAAGAATAATTTTTTTCAGAGGAAATATTTATTCAGTTTTTTGAACTATGTTATTCGATGACTTCATGCAAAAGTAGTTTACTGAAACTTATTTTTTATCAAGAAAAAATGTAAATTAAAAGTTTCTCTCTCAACATCACTGTGCATTACTCCTAATTGTGCAGAGAGTGGGGAGTGACAAGATCTAAGGTTGACATCTATACTAGATGTTTAAGTTACGTGAGATGATTCTTTTTCTGGAATACTATGATTTACAAGCAATTAAAGACTAGTCTGATCTCAAAATGAACAAACACAGGGAGTTATTACAGGTCTAACTGAGACAAAGTGGGAACAGGAATTAAATAAAGGGAATAAGCAATGGAACAGATAGTATAAACTAGCTAAGTGAGTGTTTGGCCCTTTTCCAAAGTAAAAATATCCTTTCCTTAACTAAATTTGGTCAAAATTCCACATTTCTGTCTGCTTTGGGTTATAGTTCTCTCAAGAAAGATGAATCTGTGTCTGTAACTCATCAGCGCCAGCAAAAAAACCCAACCCATTGTCTTAGCTTAAAGTATATCTTGAGGTGGCTTTATGCTAAAAGGAGAACCTTTGTCCTGAGAGGACCATGGGATGAGCAAATTGACAATGCTGACTTACAGTAAATGAATGATTGGGTAGCAGGAAGGAGAAAATTTCTTTGAAAGATGCATCTTAAATATGGGGATGTTGATATGAAAGTGAATTACTCTGTGTGGATTTTGGTCATTGTCATCACTAGAAATTATAATTACTTGCAAAACTACAGATAAATCAGGGACTTTCCATTCTTTTTCAAGGGAGGCCTTGAGCAGAGTCAAAGGAATAGCACAGAGACATTATACAAGAGAACCTAAACAAAGGGTTTCTATTACTTGCTCATGTCTGTAAAATGTACCAGTGGCAGAGGTAAATATTAGCATTTAGCTGAGCCTGGCTCTTTTCCTCATTTTCAGTTCACTGAATAATCCTCGCTCAGGTTTTAACAGGAATCCACAAACAAATTTCAGCTTTGATTGTTGCCATTTAAGTGTAGATTTATCTTTCCTTCAGGGTGACCGTGGACCAGCTGGCACACCAGGAGTAGCAGGGACACCGGTATGTATATTCACTAAGGAAAACTCAGTTCTTTAGAAGCTGAAAAAACAGGTCAAGCAAGGTGCTGAGCTGTAACCTCAATCACTGTGGAACGTCAGTGCTTGGCTAATACTTTATAGGCAGGTATAGAATCATAGAATCATAGAATCAACTGGATTGGAAAAGACCTCCAAGATCACCAAGTCCAACCCTACCGTGGTCACTAGACCATGGCACTAAGTGCCACATCCAGTCTCAGCTTGAAAACCTCCAGGGATGGTGAATCCACCACCTCCCTGGGCAGCACATTCCAATGCCTGAGCACTCTCTCTGGAAAAAATCTCATCCTAAGATCCAACCTAACCCTCCCCTGGCAGAGCTTGAGTCTGTGCCCTCTTGTCCTGCTGCTGGTTGCCTGGGAGAAGAGACCAACCCCCACCTGACTCCAACCTCCTGTCAGGGAGTTGCAGAGGGTGATAAGGTCTCCCCTGAGCCTCCTCTTCTCCAGGCTGAACACCCCCAGCTCCCTCAGCCTCTCCTCATGGCACTTGTGCTCCAGTCCCCTCAACAGTCCTAAAGAAATTAGAGTTTTAATACCACCAAGGGTTCCTATTATTAAAATGACAGGAGTGAGTGTTGTAAATACATGATAAAGCTGGAATTTTTTAGTTAAGAAAGCATAGGAGATTTCTCATTCCCTCAGTTTAATATAGATAAAGATGTTTCCTGGGCACACAGAAATTTCTGAGCATCAAAAGAATTATGAACATTGGTTATTGCAATCCACGAGGTGCTGCATATCAAGTCAATCAAACATTTGCTTTAGGGCAAAGCTTTGTCTGCTATTTACATGTGGTATTCAGAGAAGTTTCTGAAAGTCATCCAGGAACTTTGCTGTAGGTGAAAGTAAATGTAACTAATGATAAATTGAATTTATAATTATTCATTTGTGTTCCTAAAGGAAATGAAGATGTTAGATTGCATTCACAGTTTAATAAAAAACTTTATCCATATTTCAGTAGGCAATATGGAGTTATTTATATGCAAATAGATTTATTATTAAATTTGGGCATCTACCAACCCATTCAGGAGCTGTTTGAATTATAAATATGTGTTTCATGAAATAAAGAGAAGCTTGTGCCTATGCACTTCTGTTTCCATTAGCCACTGATTTAGTCTGTTTACTGTGAGTTCCAAGAGAGAACATCATCTTAAATAGCTTAATTTAGTTAAGTTCTCCTAAAACAAGGTAAAATTGCATATCTAAGGGGAAAAGAGAAGTATTTCTCTGAGTTTTATAGCAGATGTAAGACTTTCAAAGTTTTTTGCTCTGACATATATTTCACACTGTGAATAATAATGCTGTATCTGGTTAGGATGATCACAATTGTTCATTCCCTGTGTATTTCCCACTGGATATGTTCCAAGTCATTGGATGCTCTCTATTCAAGCTGGATATGAAATATTTACTGAGGTTCCTTCATCACTGAGGGAGTTGCATTCTGTTGAGTACATTTAATTCTAATAAAATCCACTGAAATAAATTACTTCCTTCTGAAATAAATTGTTTCCTTTTACATTTTAAGCTAGGCAGTTTTAATTAACAAATTACTAGACATATGTAGTAGATACATTAGTAGACAATTTTTTTACTAGTCTAGAAGAGTTTGAAACATATCCACATATCTTATTTTACATATGCTGTGATAAACTTTGATCTGACTTCTCAAGAAGGAAATCATGGTGCTGTAACAGAAAATTTCATGAAAACCATTATCTCAGTATTCAGAAAGGGTAAAGAAAACCAAGGGATTGAGTAATGTTGTAGAGAAGAGCCAGATTAACATGGCACAAATATGAAAAAAGAATCTGGTAAAATATTTCTTTTTCATACCTTAAAGCATTAATGAAAAATAACATGAATATTTCACTCATATGTATATTCTCTCTCCTTTTTGACCTAAGAAAAATTTTATTTTGCTTCCTAGTAATTCAAATCTGTAATATTCTCTGTTTGCAGGGAAAGCCTGGATCTCCTGGGTCCCCAGGGATGCCAGGGGAACCTGTAAGTACAGCTCTGAGTTCTGGTCTCTTATGATAATACACAAATATCTCAACCCCCTAATACAAGATTTTACATGCAGATTTATATTTGTGTTTTCTTTCTTCACAGGGTGAAAGAGGACCCATAGGAGATATAGGCTTCCCTGGGCCTGAAGGGCCACAAGGAAAACCAGTAAGCAATTTTATCCTGAATATATGTGTTTGTTACGAAAGGTTATGTTTATTAGAAGTTACAAAAGAAATGAGGTTCCATCCTGCTGTGTGTTAAGCTGGGTAACATCTGGAGAACACCTAGAGTTGCAGTGCTTGATCTTAATTCTCCAGAAAAGAATTCCTGGTAGTGTGGTGTTTTAATAGCTAATGTTACTGAGATGTTGCCTTTAAAGGTCTTATGAAGGTCATTTGGATCCTGTTGACATAAAAGATCCTCTCGTATTTTTACCAGTGGGAGAATATGAACCCAGACACTCCACACAGACTGTGAAAGATGGGTTGGCAGAATATGTTCTCAGTTTCAGTTAGACAGAAAAGTGTGTGCTTCATGACTCTGAATAAACTTCGTGAGTCTTCTGTATACAGGTGATGCAACTCTGCAGCTGAGGCATTTGCTGTCACATAGGATATGTGTAACCTGACCTCTTTGCTGAATAAAAGTGTGACAGCACTGTAGTCAACACTGTCTGAGCTGGATTAAAACAACCTTGTTTATTCTAGAGTGGTTCAGCTAGGATAGCACAGAGCTCATTATCTCCCCCAAAGCTGGGTGCTTTGTGAGTGAGCTTGAGCAGCAGAGCATTGCAGCTTGTCAGCACATCTCCACATCACACATCTGCCTTGAAAGAAGAGACAAATTCTATACCTTCAGAAGGAAATCGGTCAAAGGTGCCTAAACTGTGCAAAAGTCCACTTTGCAGTGTGAGAGGGAAAGAAATATTCCTGACGTCTTTGCTCATGCAAGTCCTTCTTTCTCACTCAGTGACACAGCAGTGAGTTTGTTACATAGAATCATCAAGGTAGGAGGATCATCGAGTTCAACCATCAACCTCTCACTCTGCTGTGAGCCCTAAACCCTAAACCATATCCTCCAGCACCAGATCCAGACACCTCTTAAACACTTCCAGGGATGGTGACTCCACCCTGGGCAACCTATTCCAGTGCCAAATCTACATATGCAGATCCATATGCATCCTATTAAATTAAACAGTGCCAGACCACTTATCTTGCAATTATCTGGCATTTTTAACATGCTCTCTGACATTATTTTGGTCTGTGCCATCTAGGACTCTCAGATAATGTCATGTTCCAGTCTGAAGGATAACTTGGGCCTGGAATGGTTTCTAGCACGTTGTATGAGTGAGTCAATCCTCTTTTGGGAAGGAAATAGGTTTAAGCCCAGGAAGCCAAAACTGTGCTATGCCACAAGTGCTAAGGACCAAAGAATGGATCTAGTCACTTAATAGTAAGGCATAATCTCTGTAACAGCAGAAGGGTCATAGGGCCTTAGGACTAATATCTAGAACAAGAGAGATCTCTTCTGTGGTTGTATAATGGCCAGCTGGGACTGGAGATGTACTTGTACAGGTCCACAAATATTCCACCTTTAAAAAATTTTGCATAACTTGCCATTTAAAGCTGGATGCTCTTTGTATTTCTGTGTTGTAACCACACAAACTGCTGCCTCTGCAACTTCAGAATATTTGCTCATATGGCACTAAACATTGAGCTTTACCCTTCGTATTTTTAAAACACATAATCATTTTTTATTTTTTTCCCTAGGGAATCAATGGAAAAGATGGATTGCCAGGTCCTCCGGTAGGAAAGCATACTTTTGTATTTTATTCTTCAAAGCTATAATTGCTGTTAATCCTAGGCAGTTGCTTTCAGTTCTGCTAACAGATGAATATACAAAAAGGCCTTCAATTGATAGGTTTATCTTTTTCCAAAACCCATTTTTCAGGGTGCTGTGGGAAGACCAGGAGACAGAGGACCCAAAGGAGAACGTGTAAGTCCCCTATTATAACCTTTTTCTCCTTTTACTGAGCACCTAAGCACCTCATCAGTGCAAATTTTATAGGCAAAACCAAGAAAGAATTTCTTCCTAACATCTCATCTAAACCTACTCTCTTGCAGTTTAAAGCCAGAATCCTGATCTTATCACTACACACCCTTGTAAAAAGTCCCTCTCCAGATTCTTTGTAGGCCCCCTTTAGGTACTGGAAGTAATTCATGTTAATTGTTTCTTTGATTAACTAAAATTTTGTGTACATGGAGGCATAAAATATCATGCTTCTATGAAAAACTACAGAAAAAAATGCTGATGCCTTGTGCCTGCGTGGATTTGAGCACCTAAATTTAACCTATGCCATAACTTTCTACACTCAAGTTCTGTCCTTGAAAAGTGGGTTACAGAGTCAAGCTCTTCTTTCTGTCATTGACTTCCACATCAAAAGTGTAAGAAACCAAAACCTTACTTGCTGTATTTTCTGAGACAAGGTTTAGCCTGTAAAATCAGCCTCCCTGCGTGACTCAATTATTTCTGAACGAGCGAGAGTTTTCTCTTTAGCATTCTCAGGTGACTTTTCCAGGTTTGTTCCATTATGTGCAATGGTTTTCTTTCTGCTTTTACCTTACACAGGGAGATCAGGGTATTCCAGGTGACAGAGGTCCACAAGGTGAACGAGGGAAGCCTGGCCCATCAGGGCAAAAGGGAGATGTGGGTCCTGTTGGCCCCCCAGGAGACAGAGGTTATCCAGGATCACCAGGTCACCAAGGTCCCCCAGGTTCACCAGGACCCCCAGGGTTTTCAGTAAGTAAATACAAGTTTTCCTTGGTTGCTTGGGAATCCAGATAATGTGAAGGTAGCACATGCTGAGCACTGGAAATTCAACCAAGGAGTACCACAGTATTAGAAAAAACTAAGGATTTCTCTCAGATAACTTCGGTGTTAAGAGGTGGAAAAAATATACCAACATGATCAAGCAGTTATTTCTAATTGTTTTTTAAAGCATCTGTTGTGGGTAAACTTTGCTTGTTTATTTTTTTACTTCCTGCATATCAATGTGGCTACTCAGTACAGTTAATAGTCACATTTTCCATAAGCTTAAGAGTCAAAGTGTAAGTCTTTGCAATTGGGAAAGAAAAGGAGGCAGCCAAAATGCTGATTTCCCAGCATTTTAAAAGCCAGTGAAATGCTGACTGTCAGTTGTAGGTATTTTAGTTTGTCTCCTCATGCACACAGAGACCTATCCATGCTATTAACTCTTTTCAACTGCAATCAGATAAGGGAAAGCTCTAAAAAACTTTTCCAGAGCAGTTACTCTTGCTGTGGTTCTGTTCTAGTAGTCTGTGCATCAAAGCAATTAGTTCCTAGAGGGGAGAGAAGTTGGCAGATGCTATGCAAAAGGCAAGAAAACCATAGCAGTGTCACTGGACTATCTTGTGCAAATTAATTTCCATACACTTAACATGTTGGTCATCTTGGTAACTGCGAGTGCCTCTTCACCTCACAGCATTAGTGTCTTTAGAATATCATAATATATTTGTAGTAAGGTGGCCTTTCAGTTTGGGATATAACACAAATATATTAAAATACTTATTTTTTTTAGTAGAAGGTTTTGATTTTTAATGCTAGTTTCAGTATTTTTTATTTTTTGTAGTATCACAAAATGCACTCTGTATATTCCTTTTCATACTTATCACCTTTCTTTTCCCTCACCAGACTGATGCAATTTCGCTTGAAGAAATAAAAAAATATATCAAACAAGAGGTTCTTAAGGTTTTTGAAGGTAAGAAAATGAAGTATTATACAACTAAAGATGAATTCTGTTCTACATTTCTTTACATGTCATCTTACTTACACTGGACTTAGCAGCTGCCTTGTTGCTGTAGCTATGTTAACCTAAGTCTGCTTTATACAATTATGTTCAAACAATTATAAGTAATAGTCTGTGTTGTTAACCAGAGTATTTCCTTATGTAAAAGATCAGCATTAAAAGATAGTCTGCTCCAAATCATAATAGTAAGCATAGATATGTAGATACATATAAGTATCATATATTACTGCAGATACATATGTGTCTACAACATATTGTTAAGACATTGAAGAGTTACTAAAGCAGAGACAACCTATTTTGCCCACTTAGTGACTTTCTAAATGAGAAAAAGTCTTGACAGCTTTCAGTCATGCAGGGATAAACTGCCATGTGAATATAAACTGCTCAGCAAATATCCCTGCTGAGTTCCAAAGCTCCAGTACAGATCATCATTTTCTGGCAGGTTTAGGCCAATATCAGATTCAGCCAAGGCCTTTGTATTATGTAAGATTTCTTAGATGAGTCCTTACTCTGAAAAGGAAATATTTTTCCTCCCCAGTGTTTCCTTAGTCATGGTTGAAAAGCTGTGACTCAGGTAGGTGTCTGAAACAAGATTCTGCTTGAACACCCCTCAACAGTAGCTTCTCTTCCATTGCAAAATGCATTTCTTATGCCTTCAAAATGCTTTGCTATTCCATCATGAATATCTGTGGATACAAGCCCTTTTATCTTTTAGGGATAAAAGAAATCATACAAAGCTTGAGAGTTTTTAACCTGTTCAGGCAGGTTTTCACTTTATAACAAGGCTGTCGTTTTGTCTATTATCACCCAAACTGCTACTCCTCAGGAGCTGAACCTACTATGTGTTTCAAGGGCAGTTTGTTGGCTGAAGTCACCTCCTTTTCCCATTCAAAGAGAATGGCAACAAGTATTCAGTCTATTCACAGAAAGAAGGTGCTCTGCCTGCAGGGTATAATGGAGTTTTGTCTTTATAGCTATTTCATTTTCTACACCTCACTAGTGGTCCCACAGATCTTTCCTTTTTGGCTTCGTTTCACTTTGTTTTGACTCTATTTTCCATTGCCTTGCTTCCTTTTTGTTTGATGCCTACTTTTGTCTTTATCCCATCTTTTTTTTCTTAAAACTCCACCACAGTAAATACCCACTAAATTGTGGAATGTTTAGGGTTTAAACCTGCTATAAATGAGACTGAGTCTAGGTTAGTACCTACCTTGTCTACCTCTAAGGAACACTAAAATCTTACTAAGTGCAATTTGTTCCACCAGCATGAACAGTTCATGCTGAAATATCTGCTATTAATAATCTTTGCTGAGCACTTTCAGGTTTTTTCACAACTGTTTTCAGGGTTTCATCACATTCCCAGATCGGTTCATGGTATTTAATATCTAGTTTGCAACTTAATATGAGTTAGAAACATCTAAGGCAGCCCCTCATGGCTGTGTTAAGTACTAATTATTCCACTTATGTATTTTAAGTGCTTCCATGAGCAGGAGACAGAAGTCATTTGAAATATTCAAATACATTAGTAATACAGAGTAGTAAAAGAAAATTCAATACAAGTTCATTCCAATAATTTCAAAGGGTAAAGACTCAGACATGAGTCTGGGTTGGAACTGGAAGCCTCAGTGCTTATTGGAGCATTTAATACCTCAACACTTAGAAGGATTAAACACCTTACTTCTAGAAACTTTTGCTGGGGCTTTGGGATTTATTTATTTTCTGGTATTTTGCTAACAGATTTCTTACCAGCTTTTTCTTGTGTCTTTTATTACTGAAGAAAGGATGGCTCAGTTTGTATCACAGCTGAAGCTCCCTGCTGCAATGCTTGCCTCCCAAGCTCATGGCAAACCAGGGCCCCCAGGAAAAGATGGGTCACCAGGGCCACCAGGAAAGGATGGTTTGCCAGGGCCACCAGGAGAACGTGGAATTCAAGGTAGGAATTCCAAGAAATGTTCCCATATATTGTATCTTGAAATCCTTATCCACTTGCTAATGATGATTAAATAAGCCAGGATTACCTATCTAGCTTCCTAATGATTAACTTTTAAACTTACATACTTATTTTTTTCCAGACTAGTTCTAAATATTAACCCATGGTAAACGTGTGGATTTTACTGATTAAAAACTCCTAATCAGTGCATTTTATTCTAATAAATGATAAAGTTAATTATTGACAGATCTAAAGCTGACAGACTACTGTAGCAGTTATTTTTTTTCTCCAAAGTAGTTCACTATTTAGATCCTGCTTCATATTGAGAGACCATCTTATTTAAGGAAAAAAAAATTGATCTCCTAGTTTGAGTGCTCTCAGCTTTGATCCTGAGACAACACGGGGGAGGAAAAACTGAAGGCAAATATTCTTCTTTAAGAAGCAGTGAAAACTGAAGTATTACTACATGAATTCTTCTTGCCATGAAGAAATCTATTTTCACAACAAAAATTCAGAGTAATTGGCTTTTCACTATACCCTTAACAGTAATTTGTGCATTGCAATGCATTTGGACAGTACAGGACTCTCATTTCACTGAACTGCCTTTTACTGCAAAATTAGCTTCAGGGGATCCAGGTTCACTGTAGTTGTGCTCTGCTGTAGGCTCAGCTTCTCAGGGATTAAAAGGAAGACAAGAACAGGCTAAAAGGAAAAAAGAATTTGTCGATGAATAATATTTTGTGGGTGGGTAATATGTAATTTGCAGTTTATCTGTAGGGAGTTCTTTATTATCTTTTGTTAGTTTGGTCTGCTCTGGAGTCAGAGCAAGTCAGACTGGAATGAAGAACATGAGAGCAAAGCTGAAGATGTGTGGATCCTAAAGCTATCAGAAGAATAAAGACTTACTAACAGTGATAAGAGCAAACCCCTGACAGAAGCTTGAAAAATGTGATGAGCTCAGAATGAGAAGAACAAGAAAAAAAGGATCAAGGAAAACAATTAAAGGCTTAGAATCTTACAACACTGACTTCATCGTTACCTAAATATTCAGATCATCGTAAACAGTCAACTTCAATGTCAGTGCCAGATTGGTCAATGACGATGTACGTCGTGGATAGTCTCAGATGCTTCTGGGAAGTGAAACGTTGTACTAGGTTTCATTTCCAGCTAGTAAGCATCAAGAGTAAAAGATGATAGCTATGCTTGAAAAAAAGAAAAAAAAAAAGCTGCTTTTTCATGCCTTATGCTTAAGTAAAAGTAGTGCCCGATGTACACAGGATTTCCATTTGTTTTACCCATATGCTCAATACTCTTTTTTGGTTAGTAAAAGGTAAGCTGAGTGAGAAGCATTTACTTCTCTGATACATCAAAAGAGATATAACATTGCACTTCCAAGGAAGGAATACCAAAAGTTTGCTTTGCTTGCTTTTTACACTCTGAATAAGAGAGAGTCCTGTGAGAGAAGCACCTACAAATACCATTCATGCCTTACCCAGCTGTGCCCCTGCATGTTATTGTTCTGTGCCAAGAGTAAAAAGAAATTCAAACCTCTGAGCAAATTGAAAAGTATCCTTCTATATTCCAACTTGTCTTCAGCCATTAAATACATAGCAAACAAGACCTCTTGGAGAAGCACATTATGTGCACGTGTGGCTGAGAGCATCAAGGCAGCACACGGTGCACATATGCCCCAGTCCTAATGCACATTTGGTATTAACTGACAGACACTCCTTAGTGTATTTCTCACTTGCAGCCCAAATTGCCAACTCCAGGGATTTGCTGTGTGCAGTAATACGTGTCTGGGCTAGCAGAGTGAGTGACTCATCCCAGACAGACAGTGAGAAGAAATAGATGCTTTTGGTAAGCAATTCATATGACTTCCATGAACATCTCCTGTTGTGGTGCTGCATGCTGAGCACAGAGCCTGCTGGAGCCAGCAGGAAAGGCAGGTGTTACTGTGTGTCTGAGGAGGGGATAACCTCACCTGTGGATTCACAGGGGTCCCTTCAGACACCTGGAGTGTGCTGCCAGTTCCCCCAGGAAATGGCCTGGGATATCCAGCAGAGCCTTCTGCACAGCAGAACAATAGGTAGGGAGTTAGCCCCAGAAACAGAAAACATAGATGCTATCTTTTGGAAGTGTAGGGATGGTTTTACAAAAAGAGTATTTAAAGAGTTACTGGACCACAGAGTCATTCCCTTGTAAGGAAGTCCAGAATTCTTACCTGCTGGCCTTCAGCAAGGATGTTCATAGTGTTCCTCAGATATTTCTCAGTGGTTCAGGTACAAATAATCCTGATTATATAGGATGGTCCCAGTAAAAAAACAGCATGCAACCAAAATATATCAAAGAAATGCAGTGTAAATTACAAAACATGTAATTGGTATTCAAATAACAACTGGAAGATTTATATATTTCTTCATGTAATTGGTATTCAAATAGCAACTGGAAGATTTATATATTTCTTCATTTTAAAAAATAACCTATGGCATAAGCATCAGTAAGCTGAGATTGATTCAGTGTTACCTGTGAAATGTACAGCATCTGCTTAAGGAGGAACAGAGGAACTGAACTCTGGATGAGTTTTAAAGTATGTTAATGTCTCATAGAGAAACAGAAAGTTTATTTCATAACTCTAGAGGCAAGTTATAGCAATGTCATCCATTTGCAAAGAGTCAGTCAGTTTGTCATGTCTTACAGGATCTAGCTCAATTAACTCCACTGACTAAATTGGATTTTTAGAGCTTAAATAGTAAGTGAATTTTGGTCCATTAGATGAAATGCACTTTGGGATAATTTTGCAATCCTTATGTTAATATCACTATTGATTTTTTTTTTCTCAATAGAGAAAAGAAGATTTCATCTTAATTAAAATTCACTCCTTCTATCAAATTAAGGAAATGAGTTTTTTATAAGTCCTCATAACTCATGGTAGCTTTGAGGAATCAAACATCACAGCTCAGAAAATAAAAATACCATAAGATGAATAGTGAAATCTCCTTATCTATATTGGTAATTTCTGCTGTCAAATTTGTGTCTTCTTATACTTATTGACTGGTGTAGTGGAAGCATGTAGAAACCCTGTCTGACATCAGGAACCTGTTGCAGTGGATGTTATCCAGACAGTCTTTTTTCTAAAATGTCAAGAGTTACCTCTCATTCTCTACTGCAGAGGTTGAAGTTAACCTGTTTTACTTTGATTTGAAACCCAGCTACTACCTCTCAGAAGGAGTTCAGAATAGGCACAGGGGTCTGGATGAGAGAGTTTGCTCTTAGCACCCTTCCTGTTGCTTTACAGCCTTTTTCTTCTTCAGAACAGAGTGTTTGCACAGTAAAGTGCAGTGGATACTTTGGTCTCATTGTTCCCTGTTGTGATCATGTGTTTGCCTTGTATTTGTATTAAAGAACCTCAGATTTCTCTGGATACTTGACATGCTAGTTTCAGGTGCTGCATTCTCCATGCTGATGGAAGAGGGTCTCCGTGATATAGGTGAAATACCTTCTGGAGCAGTTTAAATACTTTTTTACCTCCAAGTTCATAGACATGAACTTGTGTCATTTCCATGTAGAGCTGAGGGTGTTGCAGTAGCAATGCCTCTGACCATGATATTTGTGGGGAGCACCAATCCAAGAACTGTATTTCAGCTGTCACTACTCATCCTTGAGCAGAAGAAAGCTTATCCATTGGAACACATACTTGCTATGTACTGCTACCAAGCATTTACCATACTACCCACGTTGGGTATGTGTTTATATATCACTACTTTTGGGTTGCAGAAATCACAACAGAACTTCTAGAGCCCAAGTCAAGGGCTTTGCTAAAACAGTTGCCTTTTGAATTCAGCAGGTGCCTCTTACTGGAATTGCAATACTGCCAGTGAAAGCAGATAGCACCTTAGGTGTGCCTTTACATTAAAAAGAGTAAATCAAAATCTGGTTTATGTGTATGGTAATATTTTCCTTTGACTGTGTATGAGTTTGTCACTTTAAGCTCAGAAAGGAGGTGATCTTATCCTCTAGAAGTGTAATCATGGTCCTGCTTCTGAGCAAAATATACCTCATTAAAAATCAGATATTTTTCTGCCAGAATTACACATTACACTTTCAGATTGTTTACATATAGGTCTGTTTGATAATATGCTTGCATCCTACTAAATAAAACCTTATTGTTAGAAAGGATATCTGGGGATTTTTGTATTAAACTTCAGTGTCAGCAGAACTTAACAGCCACTGTGTACCAACTGCACCTTTGCATGTGTATTTGGATACAGCCAGTAATGGTTTACACTACCCTGGTTTATATATTTGCATTGGCAGATTGCTTTTTGTCCTGTTGTGGATTTTTTTTTCATTATTGTCTTGAATTCCAGTGATGTTTACAGAATCCTTCAGTCTATCTCAGTCCCTTTCAATTACAGTGTGTCAGAGACCTACAGCAATGGTTATCATGGACATTGTTAATGTGATATATGGTACCTGTGATTTCTCTCTCTTCTCCTGACTAAAGAAATGCAAAACAAATTATTAGTGGCAGCACTACTTTGTAAAATTGCAGTTAACTGGGTTTGTAGTGGGAAATGCACTGTAACTATTGATTGTAAATTAAAAAGCATAGAGAAATGCATAATAAATAGGACACATAGTGGATCCTGTGGTTGTATGATTGAGCTTTTTAAACAGCAGCAATACTATGTGTTGCACAAGGTTTTTCAGAGCAAACCAACTTCGTGTAGTTCTAAATACTACTGTGGTCATTAAAGAGCAAAACCAAGAGTCACATACAAACACCTGCATACTCCTTTTTCTGAGTCTCTATAGCTTGTGTGCATATATGCCTTGTGCAGTTTGCTTAACACAACTCAGTGACCAGAATGCATGATTAATACTAAATTTGTTTGCCCATGAGCTTTTAAACTGTTGATTTCCTTTTGTTATGTGTGTCACTCTGCATGCGTTTTCTCAAGTTTTTGCCTCACTGTAATTTCCTTGTTGGGTGCCGAGAGAAGAGTAAGATGATTGATGCTCTGTTTTGAAACCCAGAATGATTGCAACAGAGAATAGACTTTCTACTGAAGTGTATAATAAGCTTGCTTGAATACTCTGTGTACTGTTCCTACTGCATCGTGTTTGTCGTAACCCTCAACTGGTACTCACAGTGCTCCCAGTAGTTTATTTCTGGAATACCCTGTAAGGTACCAGTGTTGCCACAGCACAGTGACAAGACAACCTTTGCCAATCACCTGCAGTGTCTGTTAACCTTCATGAGTCATCAGGTGGATTGACACTGCTGTGATGGCTGATTAGCAGTGACTCTCTTAATTCAAACCGAGTTACAGTTCTTCACAAGTGCAAGTTTATTGTATGGCATAGATGAGGCTAGAAATACACTGGTCCCTGAAGCAGGACAAATTTAATTCCAAATATGACCAGAAGTTGGCAAATTAATCTTCAGCATTTGTCACATTACATGCCAGCATCTGAGATGTTGGGGAAAGAAGAGGGTTTCCTTGTAATTTCTTTTAAAGTAAGGGGTTGTGGCAGGTTCCCTATTCCTTTAAAAATGCCTCATCCTCTGACCTGCATAATTTACCTGGTCTGGACAGAAAAGGTACATTTGTAGATGGATTCTTTAGTTGAAATATGAACATGTTTTACCAATAGCCATGAGTCGTCTACTCTAAAGCAGCCAGAGTGTTTCCAACTAATAAAACAGTTGGAAAAATACAAACAGTTCAAGGAAAAAGAAACAGGGGTTGGGCACAAGTTGCAGCACCTGAGAAAATGGAAGCTATTTAGATAAATATAAAGCTATGGCCTGTGAAAAAACAAATGTACATATTCAAAGAATAGTTGATAATCATACCTTGTTAACAATATACAGCTACTTGGGTCAAGGTAGGCCTCAAACCCAAAATCTATACAAACTCTGAAGATGCTTCATTCCACATGAGGGCAGCTAGGTAATGCTGATGGAGCAGTGGCTCTTCTCTCACATACAGAGGAATGTCTAACCATAAAATACCAGATTACAGTCTAAAACTGCAAATGTAAGGATTTATGTAGAGCAGAGAGGGTGAAGTCTTACTCAGTTTGTGGGCTATGAGAGAAGTACGCGACTCTAGATGGCCTCTGGGTTGGTGCTTTACATCACTTCATCAAACTGGAGCAGAATAGGCATTTGGCTCTTTATTAGAGGAACTTCAAGAAGGTAACCTTAATTCTAGAGGAAAGGCCCAGCTAGTGAACAGAGCAGGAGTCCTTTGGCAGAGAATGCAACAGTTACTGCTAGAAATGCTCATATTTTCCAGAAGGAACTTAAGAGTTGTCTCAGCAAATAAAATACCAGTATCTGAAAAAACAAGTGAGCATGTGCTTTCCCAATTACATTTGTCATGGTAATTGCCTGTCAACAAGATATAGAAAAGATCACTGTGAATAATAAGAGGGTGCTCTTATTTTCCTATCTTTATTCTGTGTAGGTTATAGAGGACAGAAAGGGGAAAGAGGAGAGCCTGGAATTGGACTACCCGGTAACCCTGGACCACCTGGCCCTGCAGGTACAAGTCTCCAGATTTATTTCTGCTGTTGTTATTTATGAACTAACAGGTCTTTCTCCTGTTTTTCACATTGGTTTTACACCCTTGCCTTTCCTCCCAAGCTTGGTTGTAGCATGAGGTCAAATCCACCTGTCTTCTCGCGGCTGAGCTGGCATGCAGCTGACTGGTGGTGATGAAACTCAGGGCACTGCACACTCTCTGGCAAGGACTCTGCTAATTCTAACTTTATTTTACCAGCTACTGGCCTGCCAGGCCCACCAGGAACGCCAGGCTCACCCGGAGCACAGGGGCCACCTGGACCCAACGGGAGATGCAATCCAGCAGATTGTTATTACCACATAGCACAGACTCGGTCACACACCAGCAGGAAATAAAATCCCTCTCCCTTGGACACTTGGGTTCACGGTCACTTTTCACTCTTCCCAATAAGTTAATTTAATTTTTGAAATATTTGGTGCATTTTTATTCTTTTCTCTCGACACTGCATGGTGTATAGATACTTTGTAAGGCACAAAATTGAGCCTTTCTCTATGTTATTTGCAGTGTCGTAATTACGAAGTGATGAGGTATGTTTTCCAGAGTGCATTCCATGTGTTATGTTTCTCATATTTATTTTGCTTAGAACAGAAAATAGGCCCAAATAATTTTCAGAAGCTTCTTTATTCAAACAAAAATATTTTATTATGACTGAAGACATCATGTAAGTACGTCAGTATGTAAGCTGGCTTTATTTTTCTTGCTGGTGGTGAATTTTAAAAGGAAAAAAAATTCATTTTCGAAGTTTCAAAGCATACACGTTCATGGTGGATGCAGGACCTGAGCTGGAGCACTGGGAACTCTGTTTAGACTACACATTCATGTCCCTTGAGGAGGCTCTGGCACACCTTCTGAAAAGGGTCTGTGTCGTGCACCACGAATGCTGCTCACCGTTTCAGTCCCATCCAAAATGGAAATGAAGATGTGTTTGTTACCTCCCTAATCCCATCCAACATTTAGCTTCAGACTGACTGGAAAATTGCCACGTGTAGCCTGAAGAAGTGTCTCTCCTGACTGGATGTTGTGCCAGCTTGGGGCTTGTGTGTTCATTTAGTCACAGTTATGTGCACTCCACGTATTGAACTGTGAGGGGCTGGTGTTGATGTTCCCAGCTGAGAACTGGCATGTCTTCTAACCATTACATGGACTGAGTAACTGTTCTATCATTGTCTGTAATCAAGCTACTCTGCCCTTAAGTCTGCCTACAGCAAAGGTGACCCCTTGCTCTAGGGCAGAGGGTGGTGGGTATGCAGTCCAAGAATGGAACTTCACTCTGATCTTGGTGGTGGCACAGTTTTCCTCTTCCTCCTGCAATAATCACGAGCTGAAACAACCTTGAGAAGAACATGGAAACCGTAAAGTGCAAAACTCACGGGTCCTAATAACTGATGGCAAAAGAATTACTTAAGTTTCAGAGAAATTTGGAAAAAAATACAAAACCCTCCTTGAATGGTGTACGACAGAGAGCACAACAGCATCCAGTTTTCAGGCACTCAGGCAATCCTACAGGACCAGACAGTGTCAATGATGAATGAAACAGAAAAAAAGTGTAAATCCTATAGAGTTCAAAGAGCTGAGCAAAGGAAAAGCTGGAGAAAATCGATCAGACAGAGGCTGGTTCTGAAAAGGGAGGAGGGATGGCTGAAGTTTCACTTCCAATTATTGGGAAAACAGATGATCCTAGGTTAGTCCTGTGCAAGGTGCTATTGAGACTACATGGACAGCTATAACCCACCACCTCAAAATACATCTGTAGTACAAAGGAGTACTGAGGGCTCTTGCCTCATCAGCAGAAAGTGAGTCACTCTCCCACGTCAGGCAGGGAAGTGATTTTGCTGACTTGAGCTTGAGCAGTACTGAGCTACCAGGGAAGCATTCTCAAATTGGAAGTGCTGGATTCCAGAGGAGCTGTTCTGAGTCATGAATCTGGCTGACTTCTGGGTTCTGCTTAAAAACAGTTAGGGAATCACTGGTGGGAGTCTCAAAAAGAAAAAAAAATAATCGGCATTTGTTCTGAATAGAGTTCCTAGCACTTGCACCCAGAGCAGAGGAGCAAGAGGTGGCAGAGTTAAACCAGACATCTGGGGAGCACAGGCAGGACTCAGGCACGCGTTCTGAGAGGGAAAATACACACTCTTGATGTCTTCATAGGTTAGATATTTGGAGGAAAGAAGGTGCTTGCTACAAAAAGATGTTAAAGGAAACACAAGGATGGAAGGCTGAGAGTAAAACACCTGGGACA